AGCTTCCCAGTTGACCTGGGGGGCGATAAATAACTACAATATGGATCTTCATGGGAGTTGTAAGTGTAATAGCATGATATTCAAATGAGTTGTTATTGCATAGAGAAGAGAGAGTTGAATATTTCCAATTGTTAGAAATAAGAAGACCAGTGCCCCCACCCCTCCCGGACTGGCGAGGTGTGTGAGAGAAAGAGAAGTTGTTAGAGAGAGCAGCAGGGGTTGCTGAGTCTTCTGGACGGATCCAGGTCTCAGTCAAGCCCAAGATATTAAGAGTAGAATGAGATGCAAAGGCTGGAATGAAGTCAGCTTTATTGACTGCTGATTGACAATTCCATAGACCCATAGAAAGAGTGAGAGGTGAGTGTGAGGATGAGAGAAACGGGCGCAGATAAGCAGTATTGCGCTGCCTTCTGTGCTTGGTGAGAGAGCGTTGTCGAGAGACAACAGGAATGTGTTGAAAGCACATAATGATAATGGGAAATAAGATAAAGGTAGGAAAGGGAAGGGTGTAGAAGATACTTTAAGTGCCTTGCAGGTGTCCTTGCTCGGTGGAGTCGCGCAGGTAGAGTCGCAGGTCTTTACCCGAGTCGGTCTTCACATGAGGAGGCTGAACACGAGAGCTGAATGCTTCCGCTGACGCTTCCACGACAGCGCGCACACTACATAGAAATAATGCTATCAATCGTCTGAGTGAGGACAAGTGTGGTAGTCCTTGCAATTAGCACAGCGAAAGCAAATATCCCGACAATGGCCCAAATCGAAACTAGCTGTTATGAACAGCAATACTTAAGTGCTACAATAACAAACACACTACAACCCTTAAGACGGCAGATATTCAAAATAGGAACGCGACTAATTAAAATAAAGATATTTAGTGAAGATAAAAATTACAAAGAAGCAAAGACACACACCGAAGGAGAGAGACAGCTTCAGCAGTAGAGCTAGAGAAGTGGTGAGACACACACACACACACACACACACACACACACACACACACCGAAGGAGAGAGACAGCTTCAGCGGTAGAGCTAGAGAAGTGGTAAGAGACACACACACACACACACACACACACCGAAGGAGAGACAGAGACAGCTTCAGCGGTAGAGCTAGAGAAGTGGTGAGACACACACACACACACACACACACACCGAAGGAGAGAGACAGAGACAGCTTCAGCGGTAGAGCTAGAGAAGTGGTGAGACACACACACACACACACACACACACACACACACACCGAAGGAGAGAGACAGCTTCAGCGGTAGAGCTAGAGAAGTGGTGAGAGACACACACACACACACACACACACACACACACACACACACACACAGAAGGAGAGAGACAGAGACAGCTTCAGCGGTAGAGCTAGAGAAGTGGTGAGACACACACACACACACACACACACACACACACAGAAGGAGAGAGACAGCTTCAGCGGTAGAGCTAGAGAAGTGGTGAGACACACACACACACACACACACACACAGAAGGAGAGAGACAGAGACAGCTTCAGCGGTAGAGCTAGAGAAGTGGTGAGAGACACACACACACACACACACACCGAAGGAGAGAGACAGAGACAGCTTCAGCGGTCGAGCTAGAGAAGTGTTGAGACACACACACACACACACACACACACACAGAAGGAGAGAGACAGCTTCAGCGGTAGAGCTAGAGAAGTGGTGAGAGACACACACACACACACACACACACCGAAGGAGAGAGACAGAGACAGCTTCAGCGGTCGAGCTAGAGAAGTGTTGAGACACACACACACACACACACACACACACACACACACACACACACACACACACACAGAAGGAGAGAGACAGCTTCAGCGGTAGAGCTAGAGAAGTGGTGAGACACACACACACACACACACACACACAGAAGGAGAGAGACAGCTTCAGCAGTAGAGCTAGAGAAGTGGTGAGACACACACACACACACACACACACACACACACCGAAGGAGAGAGACAGAGACAGCTTCAGCGGTAGAGCTAGAGAAGTGGTGAGACACACACACACACACACACACACACCGAAGGAGAGAGACAGAGACAGCTTCAGCGGTAGAGCTAGAGAAGTGGTGAGACACACACACACACACACACACACTCACCGAATGAGACGAGCTCCAGTGACCGCGCCGGCGCCTCCGCGTCCTGATTATATAGTCTGCTATATTTACTTCTTATTGATTAAATCCAGACAATTGGTTGATGAAACATTGATTAAAATTAAGATACAATTAATACAAAACGAAATTGGCCTTAATGAATGGCTTTGTACTTTATGTTTGATGTCTCTGGGGAAGTTTTAAAGCATCTCTCAGAGCGCTCGCGTCCGTCACGGGGAACTGTCCGTAACATTGATTTTCCCTCATAAATGCAAACACGAAAAATAAGACAAAATGAATATTTTGTTCTGTGGAGAGCCAGCCCTTCTTCATCCGCTGGGTGTATTACTTTTTGTACTTTTGCCACTAAAAGTTAAAGGTGTTTTTGTGTCACGTCCGTTACGGATGTGTATTTCCCTCATATTAGATATAAAACGCATGTGTAGACTAGACTGATATTTTTCTAATGTCTGGACTCCTTTATTAAGGAGGATAAACAGACGCTTCAATATATTGGTATTAAATGCATTTTCTGAGAATTTACATTTCCAGTTTTTTACCTCAGATGTCTCGTCCATAACACTGGAATTGCCCAATTTTAAGGAAATTATCCTCAACTAGTTTTGTGGTGTAGGTTTACGTGTTTTCTAAACTTTAAATAATACTAATAGTAATTTAAAGACGTGGTAGCATTGGATCTGGACGGGAAGGATAACGCTGGGAGTTGGAGTGTGTCGCGATTCTGCCTTCTCACTCACATTTCGGTTTCATATCGCATATCTGCCATCATGTCTACCAAAGAAAATGACAGAAATAGTAACGCACAGTAACTTGGATAAGTGATTTTAATCTGATTACTGGTTTGGAAATGGTAACGCGTTAAATTACTCGTTACTGAAAAAGTTCCCGGCGTCAGTGCTGGCGAGGGCCGGTCCTGTCCGGCGGCGTTTGAGGGCCCCTGATTGGCTCGGGGCCCTGGGGCGGCCGCACCCACGCCATCTCCGCTACTGAACGCATGTGTGTGTCTCGCGTTGTAAAAGGGCTTTTTTCGGTGGTGTCGAATGAAACCGTGTGTGTGTGTGAGATATGACCCATGTGTGTGTGTGTGTGTGTGATATGACCCATGTGTGTGTGTGTGTGTGTGTGATATGACCCATGTGTGTGTGTGTGTGTGTGATATGACCCATGTGTGTGTGTGTGTGTGTGAGATATGACCCATGTGTGTGTGTGTGTGTGTGATATGACCCATGTGTGTGTGTGTGTGTGTGTGTGATATGACCCATGTGTGTGTGTGTGTGTGTGATATGACCCATGTGTGTGTGTGATGGGTAGGTTTAAGGCTGATTTATACTTCTGCGTCGGACCTACGCCGGAACCTCTACGCTATAGACTACGCGTTGGTTTTCATTTATACTTCTGCGCGTCGTTGTTTTCCGCCTTGACGCGCAATTACGCATGCGTAGGTTTAGGGGTTGTGTGTGTGTGTGTGTGTGTGTGTTGCAGTAGTCAGATCATAGCGCGCTCATGAGGAGAGTATTGGAGCGAGTCCTCGAGTGGAAACCCCAAACTGACCCGGAGCCTGTCCTGTGATCCTATCAGGTCTCCATGGCGACGGCAGAGAACGGCGCGCGACTGCACCTGTGTGTGTGTGTGTGTGTGTGTGTGAGCCTGTGAGGTAAACGGAGGGTCTCTGATGATGAGATTAAATGCAGCCAGGCAGACTGTCTCCTTTAGCCCCCAACACACACACACACACACACACACACACACACACACACACACACACAAACACACTCGCGCTGGCCTCATTGTTTAGGTATTACTTGCTCTTTAGGCTCTTAAATTACCAGAGCAATTGATCCCTCTGCCCTCCTGCAAGGCCTCCAGGCCCACTGCGAACACACACACACACACACACACACACACACACACACACACACGGATAACGGCGGGTCACTGCTGCTCTCTGCTGGTGAGGAGAGGAACTGCAGACTGACTCATTCACTGACTCACAGATATGATTCACTGACTCATAGATATGATTCACTGACTCACATAAATGATTCACTGACACACAGATATGATTCACTGACTCACAGATATGATTCACTGACACACATATATGATTCACTGACACACAGATATGATTCACTGACACACAGATATGATTCACAGACTCACAGATATGATTCACAGACTCACAGATATGATTCACTGACTCACAGATATGATTCACTAACTCACAGATATGATTCACTGACTCAAAGATATGATTCACCGATTCACAGATATGATTCACCAATATGATTCACTGACTCACAGATATGATTCACAGACTCACAGATATGATTCACTGACTCACTGACATAGTGTGTGTGTGTGTTTTGTCTCTGTCTGGTTCTTGCTGTCAGAAGTTCAGAAGAATCACACACACACACACTCAAAGCTTCTGCTGGGAACGTTTGATTTCTCAAAGCTTCATTAAAGCGAGTGTGTGAACAGCAGTCGACCTCTGACCTCGGACCCACACGATGCTGTTGTTCCAGCCGCCAGGATTAGCTGATGTCATGAGTGTGTTTCACCTGAGAACTGTGTGTGTGTGTGTGTCGCTATTAAGTGATTCTGTTCAGGTCAAATTCTACAACTGCAGCAATTACATAATTACTGTTATTAAAGGGGCAGAAAATATTCAGCAACGTTAGCAAAACAAGTCTTTACTCCGTCTGTCAGTGTGTGTGTGTGTGTGTGTGTGTTACACTGAGCTTGTGCTGTCGTTTCTCTTGGATTAATATTGATGCAGCGCTTTACAAACACAGTGAGTGTGTGTGTGTGTGTGTGTGTGTGTGAGATATCTGATGTTCTGCTGTTTCTTCTGCAGATTTCCAACATCTCGAAGCTGAAGGAGTTTCTTCTGCAACACAGGAAGGATTATGTGAACGCCGGCAGGTCAGAAATCTCTCATCAGCAAAACCTGTTCAGAGACACATCAAAAACTGTTACACACATCTATAAAGAATATATGTGTATACTATATGCAGCGTGTGTCCGTGCGTGTGTGCGTGTGTGTGTGTGTGCAGTGTGTTGTGTTCAGATGTGTCTCGGATGACAGACAGCGAGAGGGACCAGATTGATCAGGATGCTCAGATCTTCATGAGGAGCTGCGCCGACGCCATCGCCCAGCTGCGCTCCGACAGTACGAGCTCTCTATCAGTTATGATCACACAGATCCTCATATTAGAGTGATTTCTGAAGAATCATGTGACACTGAAGACTGGAGTAATGATGCTGGAAATTCAGCTTTGATCACAGGAATAAATTACACTTTACTATACACTCACCTAAAGGATTATTGGTAAATGGGCTGCATTTATATAGCGCTTTCACAGACCCAATGGCCACCAAAGCGCTTTACATTTGCCTCACATTCACCCATTCACTCACTCATTCATACACCGACAGCGACGGCAGCCATGCAAGGCGCCATCCAGCTCGTCAGGAGCAGCTGGGGTTAGGTGTCTCACACAAACACACACACACACACACACACACACACACACACACACACACACACACACAGCTGAGGTTAGGTGTCTTGCTCATGGACACCTCGACACTTGGTCAGGTGGAACCGGGGATTGAACCACCAACCTTCCGGTTTGTAGACAACCCACAATTATCTAATCAACCAATCACATGGCAGTTGCTTCAGTGCATTTAGGGGTGTGGTCCTGGTCAAGACAATCTCCTGAACTCCAAACTGAATGTCAGAATGGGAAAGAAAGGTGATTTAAGCAGTTTTGAGCGTGGCATGGTTGTTGGTGCCAGACGGGCCGGTCTGAGTATTTCACAATCTGCTCAGTTACTGGGATTTTCACGCACAACCATTTCTAGGGTTTACAAAGAATGGTGTGAAAAGGGAAAAGCATCCAGTATGCGGCAGTCCTGTGGGAGAAAATGCCTTGTTGATGCTAGAGGTCAGAGGAGAATGGGCCGACTGATTCAAGCTGATAGAAGAGCAACTTTGACTGAAATAACCACTCGTTACAACCGAGGTATGCAGCAAAGCATTTGTGAAGCCACAACACGCACAACCTTGAGGCGGATGGGCTACAACAGCAGAAGACCCCACCGGGTACCACTCATCTCCACTACAAATAGGAAAAAGAGGCTACAATTTGCAAGAGCTCACCAAAATTGGACAGTTGAAGACTGGAGAAATGTTGCCTGGTCTGATGAGTCTCGATTTCTGTTGAGACATTCAGATGGTAGAGTCAGAATTTGGCGTAAACAGAATGAGAACATGGAACCATCATGCCTTGTTACCACTGTGCAGGCTGGTGGTGGTGGTGTAATGGTGTGGGGGATGTTTTCCTGGCACACTTTAGGCCCCTTAGTGCCAATTGGGCATCGTTTAAATGCCACGGCCTACCTGAGCATTGTTTCTGACCATGTCCATCCCTTTATGGCCACCGTGTACCCATCTTCTGATGGCTACTTCCAGCAGGATAATGCACCATGTCACAAAGCTCCAATCATTTCAAATTGGTTTCTTGAACATGACAATGAGTTCACTGTACTAAAATGGCCCCCACAGTCACCAGATCTCAACCCAATAGAGCATCTTTGGGATGTGGTGGAACGGGAGCTTCGTGCCCTGGATGTGCATCCCACAAATCTCCATCAACTGCAAGATGCTATCCTATCAATATGGGCCAACATTTCTAAAGAATGCTTTCAGCACCTTGTTGAATCAATGCCACGTAGAATTAAGGCAGTTCTGAAGGCAAAAGGGGGTCAAACACAGTATTAGTGTGGTGTTCCTAATAATCCTTTAGGTGAGTGTATATAAACATAGAAAACAGATTTACATTAGAATAATATTTCACTGTTTTTTTAAATGTATTTTTGATCAAATTTGGTGAGCAGAAGAGACTCTTTCAGACACATTACAAATTCTTAATAATTCCAAACGTCTGACAATATTTGTAAACGTGTTCAAAATAAAGATAAATGATCTTGGACGTTTCTGGTGTCCAAATATCAGCTGATGATGATGATTGTGTGTGTGTGTGTGTGTGTGTGTTTAGTGCACAAACAGCCTGTCTCAGCACAGGTGAAGGATCATCGTGCAGCAGTGCTGGATCTGATAGAGGCGTATCTTAAAGGTACAGACACACACATACAGTAGAAATACACACACACACACACACACACCAGCTCATATTGTGTGTGTGTTTGCAGGTGTGTGTAAACTATATTCTGAACAGAGAGCTGTACGTGTGAAGAGAGTCGTGGACAAAAAGAGACTGTAAGTCCATTAAACACACATGAATAAACATAAACATCATCATCATAAACATCATCATCATCATCATCAT